CCTTCCTTCCTTCCTTCCTTCCTTCCTTCCTTCCTTCCACTTTTCCCCTTCTGCCTTTGGAACAGTGGCCGAAACTGAACCAACTGAGAACTGGATATCGATAAACAAGGACTTGGATTCCACAGCAGCGTAACCCAGAAGCCCAGCACAGGAGCCTGTAAAGGAGGATGTGGCCTGAGCCCCTTAGCCTCCCTGTGGGGGGGAAATACTACAGTTACATTGGGGGTCATATGCCCCATCTTCTCATGATCTCCGTAGCAGCACTGGTGATCTTTCTGGTGCGGTATTGAGAAGGGGGTCCCTTAAACTCTTCCTGCCCAACCAGCCAACCTCATAACTCCAGGATGGGTAAGAAAGAAATCAGAAAATAGCCTTCTGGGCATAGCATGCAACAAAACACTTCTCACTGGAAGGAATTCATCCCTTGATCATAGTTAGGAGCACGTTCTCTTTCTTCTTTGAGACGCCTCTTTTGCTACACTCCCTCCTCATGTTCATGGGAATGAAAATGATTTTTGCAAGAATTGGACTAATGGCTTTTTCTTGGTGGTGGGAATGGCAGAGCGTTCTTCCCAACTCCGTCTTAATTCTTTTCTGCTTCTTCTCTCAGTGCTGATGTGGACGTTCTGGGGGTCTTTTTCTGAATGTACTGTACATGCTCTCCATTACTCCAAGAAGTGAGGAATCTAGGGCTTTGGGTGAACAGTAGCCCTACAGAGATGGAAAAGGGGCCCAGATCCACGTGGAGAAAGATTTCTGACTTCCTTACATGGCTCCCAAACCTGCAAATCCTAGCACCCCGTGAGGAGCGTGGGGGAGGGATTAAAAAAGTCAAGATGGGGGTTGCAACCTTCTGATTGAAGCCCTCCCTCTTTTTTTTCACATATGTACCACACACACACACACACACACACACACACACAGATGCCCATAAGCAGCTGCGCCCATGGGAGAATCCAAATCTTCAAGATGGTGGGCATGAGGCCATGAGCCCACCCCACCCCTTCTGTACATCCATACCAATTTGGTGGGAATGTAGCCCAAAAGAGTGTTTCAATGCATCAATGGTCTTGCTCAGCTCAGAGATGTCTATTAGGGTCCCCAAGAGGGGGGGAGGGGACTTCTTTTCCTATCCATCTAAAATGTATTAATTATTCTGATAGGACTCCTAGATCAATTGACTTTGGGCAAGACTTGAGCATTCAGACAAGCCACACTCAGTAGGAAACCATCCAAAACAGTAAGAAGAAAGCAGAGGGGTACCCCCAAGTTGCA